CTGTTAGTCCAGAGTGATTCAGAAGCTGCTGTGCCTTGCCCTCTGCAAGACACGGGTGAGCCTCTACCCTCCTCTGCCAGCAAAATAATAAGCTGGCTCCTTGAAGTACATGCTCCCTGCATATGAATGGAGGGGAAGGAGGAGGGGGCTGGAGCCTGGGGCCTCTGCCAGCTGCATTGTTCTATACAAGCTGTGGCTAATAAGGACCATTAGGGGTTCATTAATGGCACCAAACAGTGAGGAGGCATTTTAGGCAGGCCAGTGTCCCTCAATCCCTAACCTTTGGCCTCTTTCCCCCTCCTCACACTTGAGACAGGGGCATCTGCTTGGGATAGGAGACAGAGCTGGCAGTGCCTGATCTCCACGTCAGGCCAGTGCTGACATCGCTGTAGAGTGATCCACCACCTCCGGCCCCAAGTCCTCCTGCCGTGGTGATTACTGCCTGTCCACCTGCTCCTGCCCCTGTGCTCCCAGCCACGGCAGCACCTTTGCTGGCCCAGCAGCAGCGGGTGCAGAGGGCCCTCCAGGACTCCAGGGTCTTGCCAGACCAGACCCAGACCCCAGAAGTGATGCCCACCACCAGGCACATGAAGTACTTGAGCATAAAGACGGCATAGTCAGGGCGGCGGGCCTGGTCAGGCTGCTGGTCACGCAGGCAGGGGCAGTTGTGCGTGGCCTCCCAGCGGGGCCGGTTGTGCTGCTCGTAGAAGAGGCAGGCAACCACGCTGGCAGCTGGCACGGTGTAGAGCACGGTGAAGAGTCCCAGGCGTATCATCAGCTTCTCCAGCTTGTGGGTCTTGGTGGGGCCACCCTGCTGCTTGATGACGCTGCGGATACGGAAGAGCGAGACGAAGCCAGCGAGCAGGAACATGGAGCCGATGGCCAAGTAGATGAGCAGGGGTGCCAGCACAAAGCCCCGCAAGTTCTCCAGGCTCTGGTTGCCCACGTAGCAGATACCAGCCACGGGGTCCCCGTCCACAGAACTGAGCGCCAGCACAGCGATGGACTTGACGCTGGGGAGCAGCCAGGCGGCCAGGTGGAAATACTGCGCGTAGCCCGCGATGGCCTCGTTGCCCCACTTCATGCCCGCCGCCAGGAACCAGGTGAGGGAGAGGATGACCCACCAGATGGAGCTGGCCATGCCGAAGAAGTAGACGAGCAGGAAGACCACGGTGCACAGCGCCGGGCCGGTGCTCTCGTACCGCACGTGCTCGGCCACCGCCAGCTCCGGCTGCAGCTCGGCCGCGCCGCCCGCCGCGCTGCGCCCGCCCGCCGCCGCCGCCCCCGCGGCCGCGCCGCCGCCGGCCCCCGCCGCCCCGGCCCCCGCGCCGCCCGCGCCCGCCCCGCCGCTGCACGCCACCTTCTCGTGCCCCGCCACCAGCCGCACCAGGTAGCCCAGGGACACGAAGAGGTAGCAGGCGGCCAGGAAGATGATGGGGCGCTCGGGATACTTGAAGCGCTCCATGTCGATGAGGAAGGTGGAGACGGTGGCGAAGGTGGAGAGGAAGCAGAGCACGGACCAGAGCCCGATCCAGAAGGCGGTGAAGGCGCGCTCGTCCGGGCTGAAGTAGGGGTTGTGGCAGGGCAGGGCGCAGTTGGCGATCTGCCCCGTCTTGACGCGGTTGTAGAGCGGGTGCCGCTCGCTGGACACCGACACCATGGGCGCCCGGCACTGGCAGCCCGGTTCGCAGGGCGGCGGCGGCCGCGGCTTGCGCGGAGCCTCGGCCGGCGGGGCGGCGGCGGCGGGGGGCGCCTTGGCGGGGGTGCCGGGCTTGGAGCCGCGGAGCGGGGGCTTGGGGGGCGGCGGCGCGGCCGTGGTGAGGTCCGTGCGGTTGTAGTCCATACAGAGCGTGTCCGGGCTGCCCTGCTCGGGGAGGCGGTCGCAGCGCATCCTGTCGGGCCAGGCGAAGCCGTACTGGCGCATGAGCGGGGCGCAGCCGGCCTTGGCCCGCTCGCAGACGCTGCGGCAGGGCGGCAGCGGCTTCTTGTAGTCCTCCAGGCAGATGGGGGTGTACATGCTGCAGAGGAAGAAGCGCAGGTCGCTGGAGCACTGGATCTCCACCAGCGGCCAGAACTGGTGCACCTCCAGGCCGGCCTCGTCCTGCGTGTCGTGGTTGAACTGGTTGGGCATGTAGGTGTAGTTGTAGCCGATGCCCTTGCAGAGGGGCACGGTGATCTCCTGGCACGACAGCTCCTTTGCCGAGGAGGAGGAGGACGCGGCAGCGGCGGCCGAGGCGGCGGCGCAGCCGGCGCGCTGCAGCAGGGACAGGGCGGCGAGCAGCGAGGTGATTTCCAACAGGTAACTCCACTCCATGCTCGGCGGCGCGCGGGCGGCGGCCCCGGCTCCTCTCCCGTCCCGCTCAGCAGCCGCGGGGAGCGCGGCGCCACAGCACCCCCCCGCCCCGGCTACCCCCGGGGGGGCGGAGGGCGGCCCCCTCCGTGCCGGTCGCAGGTGAGAGGTCTCGCAGCCCCCGCCGGACTCCGTCGTCCGCGGGCACCCGGTGAGGGGGAGCCCCCACTCGGAGATGGGGTTCGGCTCACGGGAGGCCCCTCAGCCGCCGTCGCATCGCTCCCCGCGGGGTCGGTTTCGCAGGGGAAGGCGCAGCTCCTCTCGCCGCTGCTCCAGCGCCGGCCGGGCACGGGGCGGCGGCGGCAGAGAAGTTTCGTCGGCAGCCCCCGGGCGGCGCGGTGAAGCAGGCTGAGGCGTCCCGGGGACCAGGCGGTGCCGGGCTCCCACCGCCCCGAGGGGCGGGCAGCGGCGGGGCCGGAGCTGGGGAGGCCGGAGCGGCTCCTTCTGCCGCCCGCCCGAGCGCACGGCTCCGCGGGTGACCGCCAGCCGGCCGGTCTCGCCCCGCGCTGGGTCCCTCTCCGGCTGCCGGGCGCCCCGGCCGCGATCGCGCCACCTGAGCCGCGGGTCGAGCGCGGCAGCGCCTCCGCCAACTTCTCGCTCTCCGGCCCCGGCAGCGGCGCTCCGGCCGCCGCGCTCTCATGAATATTTATAGCGAGTGCCGCCAGACCCCGCCCCGCCGCCTCGTCCGCCTATCGGCCGCGCTCGGGCGGGACGCGGGGGGCGGGCCCCGGGGCTCCTTAAGGTGGAGCCGGCGCCGGAGTGTGGCGGTGGTGGGAGCTGCTGGGTCGCAGCGGCTGCGGGGACGTGGCGGTGTTTGTTCGGCCCCTGCCGAGACGCGCGGCTGTGCACCGCGGTGCGTGAGCTGCGGCAGCCACGCACCGGTCCGGGCTGCGCAGGGGACCTCTGTCCCCTTGCCAGGGCTCCCGGCCAAGTCGCGGTCACCGCAGCCGCAGTTTAAGCAGCGCTTGGGGCGGTCTCGGAAGGGGTTTCCTATCACCCCGTTGCTGCCCGCGGGATTCGCCGCCCGTGCCGGTGTGCGCGCTGCCCCATCCCCTTGCACGTGTTGGTGACGGGGGTGGGAGCGCGGCGAAGCCGGGGGTCCCGGCAGCACCGCAGCCGGCACCCGGCCCCGCCGCCCCGGCTGCCCGCGGCCCCGGCCCCGGCGCGGAGCACCGAACCACGCGCGGTGCAAGCGCAGCGCTGGATGCTCCGCCCGGGGTCGGGGTCGCGGGGGTGACGGGTGACGCGGGGACCCCGAGGCGCGGACAGCCGCGGGTCACGGCGCTGGCCGGGGCGTGCTCAGGCGGTGCCGCGTGTGCACCCCGGCCGGCGGCGGGAGGTCCCGGTGTGACGGCGGGGAGCAGCTCCGCGCCCCGGCAGGTGGACACTCGGTTCCTAGCCGGGCGCGACACGGCCGTAGCTCGGCGGCCGGCGCTGGGCGCACGCTACCCGCGGGACGTGGGCCCGCACCGCCGCCGGCCACTGACCCACAGCCCCGGGGCAGCGCCGGAGGCCGGTCCTGGCTCCCGAGCGCCCGCGCCAGCCCGGCGCCGCGGCGGTGACTCGCCGAGGAGCCGCCGGCAGGCGCCCGGCGCGGCGTGTCCCGCCCGGGCCGGCAGAGGAGCCATCGGCGGCTGCGCGCCCGCCGCCCCGCGCTGTGGAGCCCCCCCGCCCTCCGCTCCGGGGGACCGCGGGGCGGCCGCGAGAGGAGTCGCCGGTTTCCTCCGCCCGCGGCGGGGAGGGGGCGGGCGGGAATTCCGGCGCGGCCAGACCACCTTAAGCGGAGCGGCGGGCGCGGGCCGCGGCGCGGCGGGGCCGTCCCGGGGGGCTGTCCCGGGGGGCTGTCGCGCTGCCGGGCCGGGGCGTTTGTTTGTTAATTGCCGCGCCCGGCGCTCGCGCGGCGCTCCCGCTGCGGCACTAATGACTGGAACCGCGGGAGCGCGGCGGGGCCCGTCTGCCGGCGGCGGGAATCGTGTGATTCGCGGGGAGGCACACGGGGAGAAGCGGGGCCGGGGGGAGCGAGCCCGCCCCGGGGGGCGGTGCGGGGCGCCCGAGGAGGAAATGGAACGCGTGAGGCCAAACAAGGAACAATCCCCGGGTTGTTGGCTGAGCCAACAGGCTGCTGTCGCCGGCGCTGTCGCCGTGTGAGCGAACGCGGGATTACCCCGTTAGGAGGAAATGGGCGATGATGGGGCGATAAACGCGCCCGCTGTGTAATCACAAGCGATTTGCAATTGACCGAGCGCCGCTGCCGACCCCGGCGCCCAGCCCAGGTCGCCCGGGACCGGGAAGCTCCGGCGGCCGTGGCCGCGCTCCTCCGGTGCTCGGACTGTGGAATGGTCCCGCTATTACACGCGCGGTGCTGTGTCTGACCGCAATCAGAACTTTTCCTGAAGTAGCAGGTGGTTATTTTAGCGCTAATTTAGTTAACAGCGTTGTGAAAAGTCTTGCGAGATTGAACAATGCCCGGTGAAGAAAACCTCCGGCGCAGGACTCAGTGACGGATAGAGGTTTCAAAAGTCTCTAGTCCTGGATGCGATGCTCCATTTTAATAAGTGACTTTTTTTTTTTTTTTTTTTTTTTTTTTTTTTTTTTTTTTTTTTTTTTTTTTTTTTTTTTTTTTTTTTTTCTCTGGTGGCTGCTTATTTAAAAATCTCTACAGAATATAAAATTGAGTGAGTCTAGTCGGGGGAACCGGGCGAGTCTGTAAATTACCACTCTGTCAGGATTCCTCTTGCCTGTTACAAAGTACCTTTTTATGCTGAACTTAAACTTTACACTACAGAGACAGCAGATGTGAGGTGATGGCTTCCAAAAGCAACACAGATGCTGTAAAATTTCCATTGCTATATTTCAGCGAGGAAGCTCAGGAGACATGCTGAATGCTGCAGTTTAGAATTACACTGTAACTCTCCTAGAAATAAGAGAATACCGAGTTTCTCAACAGTACATTTGGCTTCATTTTTGCTGTCATTCATATGCTCTTGTTTTCTTACAGCAAGAAGAAGAGATGCAGCACAAAGATACTGTGTGTCTTGAAGCTGTTCAATAATGACAGAATTGGTAATATGGAACTTTATGGCAATTTAGTAATGACTGCATGTCCAAATTCCCTAGTAAAACCATGACAATTTTTAAATTGTCTTTCAGGTATATAAAACAGCACAGCTGTGAGGAGGCTGCTTTGCTTTATGTGACTGAAAAGCAGCCTGGTTAGCTCAACACTGTGGAATCAGAGCCCATTGTGTGTTCCTCATACTTGGAGACTTCCCTGAAGTCCCTAGAAGTCCTGTGATGAAGGAATCAAGGGTCAAGTCTTTAAAATGGTTTGTGTGTTTATTCCAGAAAGTTCAGCAGCTGCTTTTTCTGAAAAGCTGAACTTTGCTATAGCAATGCAGAATAATTTAGAGTGCTTTTTTTCCCCTGGGATTTCAAAACAGATGTCCAGTTATCAAATCCTGCAGAAATATAAAGCTGGCAAGATTTTTACAGATAACTTTTTACAAAGTTACAGCTTTGACTTGTTGTCAAATCTAGTCACTTTGTGTCTAGTCTTTGTCACTACAGATCTTTGTTGCCGCAGATACTCACGCCTCTTTTAGTCAAACAATTAGGTTTGGCACTGGCCCCTCTAACATAAGCCTAATTTTTCTGTGCATCTGAGGCTTTGCATTTGGGATTATATGGATCCCACCAAACCAGGTAATGGTAACTACAGGGCATTTTAGTTCAAAATAAGTAAATTTGCCTTTTTTTTTTTTTTTTTTATACCTGGAAGTAAAAATGCCATATGAAGTCTTGGATTTAACATGCCATTTTGTTTGTATAAAAATAGAGATGTTTAGTTTATAAGATTTAAAAAAAATTGCTTCTTCATTCCCACTGAATGTTCTCCAGTAAATTTTAGTGTGGCATTGTCTGCATTAGATAGGTCACTGAATGGTGCTTTTATAAATGTGTTTGAAAAGAAAAACTTGGTCCATGGAAATTGTTCCAATAATCTTGTTAGAATGAAGCCTTGACTGAAGGCAGTAATTTCATGGATTAAACCCAGAAGGGCTGGCTAGACTGATCTTCCTATCACAGGCCACAGAGCTTTGTGCAGAGACTGTCTAAGCAAATGCTGGTTAGCTGCAAAACATAGGGGATTTTGCATGGACAATACATTGAACAACACCATGAAACTGGAAACTTTGGTACTTTTTGGGGACAGGATAAATAGGAGCAGGAAAAAAGAGTATTTTTACAGGCCATTTATTAAACACAGTGAGGTAGAGTTGTTGCATCTAACTATATTCAGATTTCCCATAAAAAGTTCCAATTAAAGTTAAGGGAGACTGTTTTTTTTTCCCCAGTCTATCCCTTTCTCTCACATGCCAAATGTGGTCCAGAACTGAGCAACATGATGGCACATCTAAGTATGGGGAAGAATTACCTGGTTTGTACTTCTGCAAGTCCAAAAACCACAAATTATGGCCAGTAATCCAGTGCTGTGAAACCTGAAGAGAAATAGGGATAGGAGAATACGGAGTGCATCTCTGTCTTACAGTTTGATATTTTTCCTTTTACAAAAATAAATAAATGGCCTTCTTCATACATCTTCTGAGTCAGTGTACTTTATTATGATTCATGAGAACCTTTTGTAGGCAAGAACAGTTTTCTGCTTTCATTTTTTTCAGGCATGTCAGATCTGCTTGGGGATGGGCACAGTACCATGCTGGTGCTACTGTTGTTCAGTGAGATACGAGAGAGACTTCAGGAAACAAGAAAATAGGTTGAATACAATGTGCTGCAATAGCTACTCCTGGAGTGCAGTGAGCAGGTGACAGAGGAGGAGAAACTTCTGGAAGAGTACTCTGCTGTTGGTTTGTCATAAAGGATGATCACAGAGGGATTGATCAGTGCTGTGGTCTGACTATTGCTCTGACAGTGAAGATGCAAGCTGTGGCCCTGAATGTGGCTGGAGGATTTTCTGCTGAATATGGGAACAGACCATGGTTAGATTTCTTGAGGCTGCTTTGAGTGCATGGGCTTCACTAGAGAAGGAGTATGAGCTGCAGAATGAGTGTAAGGAGTCAGTGGGAACAGCAGTTTAGCATGAGGGGAGTATGAGATGAGCTTGTATTGAAGGGCTTTAGCCCTGTTCTCTCACACTGCAGTTGGTGATTGGGCTGCAAAGTATTGGCTCTCTCAGTGTAATTGCTTCAAATCTCATTAGGGAAGCAATACAGGAGGAAGGAATGCAAGAAAATACAGATTATAAAGATTGTGAAGGAAAATATGTGTTCTTGAGGATTTTTGCCAAAATATTATATTTTTCTTTTCCCACCAGTAGTTAGCAAGCTGCATTTATAATCCACCTGTGCTACAGACTGTAATACCTCATGGTGTGGTGTTTCACACATGATAAATGTCTTCACAAGTCACACGTGTGACTTGTGAAGATAAATTGCACTGAATTAAACAGTCTGTTGATCCATTGTCACTGTATTTGGAGAGCAGCACAAACTTCATGCAGTTGAATTGCTAACCATAATGTATGTAAGGTATGTATGGACAGAGTGAGTAGTGTTGTCTTCCTCTGATTACCCAGGTAACCATGAATTTGCTTTTGGGCTACTGCCAGAACATTAGTATGTAAATGCACTCCTGCATCTCAGGAAGGTTATGTGGATTCAGGTTGGCAGGGAGAGGTCTGGTCTCTGGGGGTGTATATGAGAACATAAACATGCACCACTCCCTTGTCAAAGTGAAAGCATGTCCAGGCCTCTGGCACACCAGTGACTCCTGCAGTCATGTTTGTGATTCTGTCTCCATGCTTCACCAAAATGTAATTAATATATCATATATCTGCTTGAATTGCAGATTCACCATGGGCTGGGAAGTCCATTTGGTCAGTCTTTAGTTTTGGAGAGCTCAGTTTTAACAATTTGGGTATAAACCCTTGCAAAACTTCTGGTAAATATCCACTGCTGTTGCATTGCCCCCTGCCTTACCTGTCTGGGATGTGGCCATCTGGGATGGGCAGCTTCCAAATTCCAGCTCCCACCTGGCCTTAAGAAAATCCAGATAACCTGCAGGTATCTGAACTTTGATGTCATAGCTTTGGAGGAATTAAGTGGACTTTAACTTGACCTCCTTGACTTTGTTACTTAGTTCATGTTTGGGTGACAGCAGATGGGTGAATAGCACATTTAACTCTTACCAACTCTGAGTATTGGTGCTGACAGGGTGAAAGGAAGAGCCACAGCAGAGGTGGGGAGTGCTGGGTTGTCTCTCACGTAGGTAAGTCAGAGTTGGGATGGCTCAGCTGCCACAGCCACACATCTGTGGTGGGACACCTGGGAAGGAATCCAGCCCAGCCTGTGTGCAGCTCCGTGCCAGCTTGTCCAGCCTGGTGGAAGAAGGTTGGTGCAGAGACAAATTAAGCAGTGTAGTCCACTTTGAGCTAAGAACTTCTGCATAAGCTCCATGGAGACATTAGCTTACCTTTACAGCATGTGAGACATTACCCTCTCACATGCTGTAAATTAAATGAGAAAATAAAGAAGTAATATGCTTATGAGTGGGAAGTGAACTGATGAAGAAATGACCCTTTATTTGAAAGACATGGATAGGGCTAAAACCCAGATATAAGAAAGCAAAACTTTGTATAACTGATTTGAAGAGAAACATGTCATTAAATCCTTGGACAATATGAAGCTGGTCATCAATTCTGATGCTACTTTTTGCACCTTGGAGGTCAGTGAAACTGTAAGTTAAGGGAATAATATTTTGCATATGTTTGAAGTAGACATTTTTTCAGTTTCACTGTTTCCAATCCCAATTTTTGATGGATGCCCAGTAGTAATTTTTAAAATATCAAATGATAAAATCACACTGAAAAGTCTTACTGAAAATATTGTCCAGGAGATAAAATTGAAATAACAGATGTATCTTTCATCACTGATTTTGAACATTTATTCTTTGTATTTCATTTATGCTGAACATTTTTTTTATTCCTACATTTAGTCCCTGATTAATTCTTCACTGTACTAATTTTGCTGGCACAACAGTGGTTGGTTATTCCAAATATGAATAAGAAGAGCAAGATTGGGCGTGTACTAATTTTGATGAGTAAATTTGCCTTGAGAATGACAAATTCTCTTAGTACTTTTCACTTTATAACATTAGACAGTCAAAGATGTTGACACTTTGTAGGGAATCAGCATTAGGCAGTGTTTGGAACTGCTCATAGGGAGTGCTCAGGTGCCTGGTCTCAGCAGAAACTGCTAAAAGCCTTTCTCTATTTTTATTTCAGTAAAAGAATGGTGTGATTGAAAAGCAAGGTGTTGAAAGGAATTTCACTGTAATAGCAAAATAGCCTTCCTTTCATTTTACTCACTGAGTTCTAAAATAAAGATATTTCTTTGCCAGTTCCTTTGAATTTTCTTAATTCTTAATTGGCATAATGATGGCAGGAATAGTCCTCTCTCTCTGTGTATGGTGAGGGGAAAGAAAGAAATACCCCACTGGCATGAGATTTTCTGCAGTTCTTTTGTAGGTTCACAACATTGTTACAAAAGGTGCAATCTTGATTGATTTATTATCTTTTATTTATTTTCTTTATACATTTATTTTGCAGTTGGGGTGAGGATATGCAATTGTATGTCAGAAAACGGCCACAAGGGGAGAGAAATACTAGAAATTTACTTGTAACATTTTTCCTGGTAGTATTAGTTGAATGTTTCTCTGTCTTGGCCTGGTTTTGGATGAAAAGCTTTCAGTTCTTCCAGGGGATTGTGGGGTTCCAAGAAAAGGGATGATAATAGCCATGTTGGGATAGCTGATACTTTTTATTGTATTAGTCTTATTGGATTTATTCCTTCTGGTTTACTTTACTGAAAAGAGAACCCTGAAAGGGAATAATAACTGGAGTATCTTATTTTCTTGCCACTTTGCTAATTTTGCTATACATATTTTTGTATTATAGATTTCTTATTTAGTAAGTGTTGCCATTGTATGAATCTTATCTTCACCCTTTGCTTTTGTAAGGTAGGCTGGCTGGTCTTTTATAAGTTAGGGGTCACATGAAGTTATCACATCCATTCAACTCTGTTTTTGTTTGGGTTTGGCTCCTTGGCTTTTGAACAGTTCTGCTAGCAGAACTGTGATGGAAAACTTGAAACATTTCACTGCTGTTTAATTTGTTTTCTGATTTGTGGGTGGATGAGTCCAGGTGATATGCTTGAATCTGCAGGTTAATGAGAAAGAAAGACCTTTCTTGACCCATGAAATTTCATGCATGAATTTTGGATAAAAAAAAAAATAAAGAGCTTTCTCTGTTTTTTTTTTTTTTTTTTTTTGTCTTAATTTCCCAGGAAACACAACAAGCTTTAACAGAATTCAAAGACTTTGGAAGAATTTGTCTGAAAACTAAAACTTCTGGATTTGAAAAATGTTACTGTACTTCTCTGTCATCACAACCTGGATGCCTGCTGGCCCTGCTCTGCAAGGCTGAGGCTGCCTTCCACCTTTGACATTTTGCCATGATCTTTCCTCCTTGAAGGGAATGTTGTTTGTGGGGAATCCCTCAAAGTGATCCATCCTCAGAATTCTCATTTAAATGGGGAGTCTGCTTGATAGAGATCTGCCACATAAAGCAGGTAAGCTAGAGATACAATGAAATGCTACACTACCATTTCTTAATAACATACTATGTTTTCAATCAAAATATTTTTGTTGATAAGTTTGGGTTTTTGGTAAGAAAAGTATACTTGCAGAAGCACATATTTAGGCATGCCAAAAACCCCCAAACAATCCAACCAGAAAGTGTTTAGCTGAAAGCCTCATTTCCCATCAAAAATAGATGCAGTGGAAAAATTTCAAGCAGCCCTATATTTAACCTCCTTGGATCAGAATTTGGTTGTTGGACTGAGGGAGGCTTACAGAGTTTTTTGGCTGCTTTTGTTAGGGTGTCTGTTTTTTCACTCATGGCATCTGCCTGCTTTTCAAGCTATATTCAAACTTGTTATATCTCTTGCTATTGCAGCATTTTACTGTGTTCAGAATGCTAATTCCCATTGGACTCAACTCATTCAGGTATGTGCAAACTCTGTTTCTTTCAAGGGGTACATCAGTCTTGATTTTTAAGTTTTTTTTTAGAAAAAAGACAGTATCACTACAATGCAGTTCCTAGTTCTTTGCCCAGGGTAGCCTTGCTTTGGCACATTGTGGATACAAAAATTTATGTAAGTTTAAGGGATAATTGGATAAGTGAAAGAGAAGGTCCATTGGGCAAGATAAATAGATAAATCACATCAACCTCAGGAATTCTTGAGTGGAATATAGTTGAAGTGCTAGAGAGTTATTCTGGGAAAATACTATATTTGCTTTCTTTGCTCATGCTCTCTTCTCTTCAGTCTGACTTATGGACTGCTTTTGGAAGCACAGTACTGACCTAAATGGACCTTTGATCTGGATTGTCATAGCCATCCTTGGATGAGGAGAAGTACACTGACAAATGAGTAAGTGCAGGCTTTCGCCATCTGGAATTCAGCAAAATTTATCAAAAATTAATATTTTTTTTCACCGAGAAAAGTGCAAGCGAATCACTAAGTATATGAGCAAAGAATAGAGAGTTTTGTCTGAATAGACTGTGATTCTGGAGTCAAGCACTCTGTTGATATATTTTTTTAAGTAGGTTTTGCAGCTTCCATGTCTTCTTTGTTGCTTTTTGTAGAAGTAAAAATTTGCAACAACTATGTCTCTGAATCTTTTTGTGTGTTCTTCCAAAGCTGGTAGGTAGAACGTTAAGTGTGACTCCTACAAAATTCAGTGGACATTGTATTATCACAAGAAGAGAAAACAAATATTAAAAATCAGGAAGGAAAACTATTAGTAGGATCTGCATTAGTTTCAGTATATGTTATGTTCTGTAAGTGTTATATTTCTGTTCAGTGTCAGAATGCAGTTTGTAGCCAGAAGCTACCACCAACTGGCAACATGTGGCGCTTCTTAAGCAAAAGTTGATTTTTATTCTTTATGGCTTATTTTGTATTGTAGCAGCTTTACAGAAATATCTTTCCAGATATTCTTAACTTTGTTTTCATGGTAGTTTAACTTAGTTCATGACTGCTAAATAACACTATGCTGTTCAAGTCTTCACAGGCATTAATGGTCAAATCTGTAAAGGAGCATAATCTTAGTAAACTAGCAGGTTTTTTTCCCCTATATTTTTAACAAACTCTTCAGAATTTTTATGATTTCCTGAAAATATATATATTTAGTTTTAGTCCTGTGTGCTTAAATTTACCTGGGTGTTAAATTGACCGAAATAGGTGGAGTCTCTTTTATTTCTTTTCCTGACATGGCAGACACTTTTTATTCAGATTTCTGTCAGCACGGTTTTATTATAATACATTGTTAGTACTAGAAGTTCCCTTTTATTATTTTAGAACTATTTAAAATAAATATTTGCAAGAAAATATAATAGCCAGGCAACATTTAAAAGAAAGAAAGAGTTGAGTTTGAGCATTGTTGAGAAATAGATTCATCAACCCAAAGTGTGGCAGGAAGGACAACAGAGAAAGGAAAGCACAATATTGAAGCATAAGAGTGAGCTCATATGGTACCAGCTGCTCATGTGTGGAATCTAAATACTTTCTGAAACATAGGGCTCCACAGTCAATTAGCATTACTTCAAATAATCATTGTACAAGGAAGAAATTTTAGTACATTAGAATTCATGAGTTGGAAAAAGTAGGAAAAAATGTTCTTGCTTTCCCAAAAAAGCAGTAAAAATATGTAAATTCTATTAAAATTAATTTAGAAATTCTGTGAAGTGAAAGAAGATATTGTAATCCTGTCTCTATAGTGTGTCAAGAATGGCAGAATAGTGCAACTTCTCTCCATAATTTGTGTGGCTTAATCAGAATTTTTATGAAAATGTCAAGAACTGAGAAGTGAGTAGAGTTGCAAAATCTGTCCACTCTTGAAACTGGAAGAATTGAGGGGAGTAATTGGATGCAAAATAAACATGTGTTCACAAGTAATTGGACTGACACTATTAAATTTCTTTCATTTCAGTACTAAGTAGTAATTACTTTAACTTCAAGGAAAAGCGAAGATTACATCCTGTAAAATTTCTCATGCAAAATAGCCTGTCCTCCTGTCAGTGATGCTGGTTACTTTAAAACGTCTGTTTTCTTGAGAAAAGGTTTGTCAAATCAGGTGGTTAAATGGGAGAGGGGATTAGGAGACAAAAAATCTGGTTTTTAGTGGGAGTTAACTTTTGGGGATGTGGGGCAGAGAATGGACAATGAATATCACCATCTTTTAAGTGTTCAGTACTATTAAAACTGTTTTTCTTATGGAGAATCCTTTATTGGCAGAAAATTTGTGAAATAGTGAAGGCAAATGCTGTGGTAAAATATATATAAAGGATCTAATGTCAAAATGTATGTTAAGGCATACATCTACAGATTTAGGAAATTATGGGGATAAACTTGAAAAGTGTTCCTGTGCTTAAAAAGCCTAATTGTAATTGTATATATATCAATCTCTTGTCTGTTTTGTAGAAAGTTTGTGCTATCTAACTGGCATTTTTGAAGCAAACAGTATTTTTACAAGAGCCACTAATTTAGTTTGGGATATAAGAAATAGTTGTTAGCTTTATGGGTATTGTTAGTTTTATGGATAGTAAATGTGAATGTAATAATTTTCACATTTATATAAGCTGCTTCATTCTGTATGTAAAGCAAAATATCTTCAAGGTGCTTGGTTTTGTAATTAACAAATGTCTAGTTGATCAAAAATATCCTCTCTAGTATGAGGCATGGAGATTAGGCTAGGCTGTGTTACAGAATAATGTGATTATAATGATTTCCTTAAGAGAGCACAAAAGCAGCATCTAAGTTTCAGCTGACGTTTATTGACATACAGCATCTGTTGGGAGCCCCATCAAACTTTCTATTCTTTTCTGTTTACCACCTCCTGCTTTTATTTACAGTCAGCATACCTGTTAATTAGCCTCTGGTAGAGCCAGTTCTTCTAAGAAGATCTCTTGTCTTCCTGTTGATGGCCCCATGAGGTGACCATGTACACACAGTCTGGGAGTGAATTAATCTTTAACTCGTTAATCTCAGCGCCTGATTCTGCAATGTTTAACTGCTGCCTTGGGTCCCTGCTCAGCAAGTTGTATTTGGAGAATTGTGATCCTTGACTTCTGCCGACCTCAATGTCATGAACACATCCTGGTGAGCTCTCAGCTTCTCGTGGGTAACCTCACTGAAAGTCATCTCTTCCTGCAGTGTTTCCTAGGATTGGACCAGAATGCAGAATGCACAGACTTCCTCTGTGTCGCTGAGGTTATTCACCTAGTTTTTATTGTGCATTTGCAGAATAAAATGACTCCTGCGCTTTCTCAGCTGTCTCTGTCCCACCATATCTGAATGCAGCAAAGTCTGAAGTGATGTTGCAACGTGTGGATCTCCCGAGAGGTGCTCTGGAGGGTGCCGTACCTTTTTGGAACCTCAGTGAGACCTTGGGGTGATGTGAAGCTGTTTGTAGCCACAGGCTGAGTGCTCGAGGTGCTTCTTGTGCCCTTCTCTCACAGCACAGCTTGCTGGTTACAAAAGAAAAACGTTGTAGCTGTAGAAGGAAAAATTCAGCAAAAACATAATTGAAAAATGGAAGGAAAAATTCAGGAGCAGGATTCAGAGATCTCCTCCCAGGCCTGCAGTGTGGGCTAGAAGTGCTTGAGAGGTGAGAGCTGATGTGTGCATCTCACCGGGGTGTTAATGGTTGGTTGTTTCACCTGAAACCTGAGAAAAGAATGACTGGGCTGCTTATTTGCACAGTCAACTGTAGGTAATGCCTTAAGTGATGACCAAGTTCCTCCCTTTTGCCCTCACTCCTCCAGCTGAGGAGTAGCCAAACTCTGAAGGCTTTAGCGAAGGTTAAAGATGTCTTTGAAACCCTGCCCAGAGCATGGGCAAGTATTAAAAGCCATAAAGTACATGCTATGGTAATGTGAACATTTTTTCATAATTTAATGAGAGCTTTACTGATAAAAATTCACTGTTTCAGTACAAAAAGAAAAAAAAAAAAAAAAGAAAACCAACAAAACAAACCCAAACCACCCAACCAACAGCATAATCCCTGGAATACATCCAGCTTTTGTACTGGAAAAGTACCTCAAAGGAGTATGATCTTCTCTCTTTAGTGGGAAAGTTTTTTTGCTTATCTACAAGGTTTTATGCTGACAGAACTGCATTTCATTGTCTCCTTTTCGTGGCTAGGCAGATCCAGGTAAAGCAACTTAGTTTTAAAGGGAGTAGATACCTTAATTCCTTTAAATTAAATTCTTAAAACATCCAAATGTCCAGGATGCTGTGAAAAGAGACACAAAAACTAAAAATAGGTGAATGTTTGCTGCTGATTGTTCATGGCTTTGGAGGGCTAGTGGTGATGCAGTGTTGTGACAAAAAAATTAAAAAGTATCAGTTCAAGTTTCCTTTAACAACTTTAATTTTAAGAAGTCAATGCTGACTGATCTGTTAATGTTTCATGGGGAAAGTTGACACTGAGGGGAAAGAGTGGGTGATACTACTTCAAAACATGGTATCTGCTTTTACTTGTTTTGTGGTTGAAGGACAGAGAAATAAGAGATGCTGAAAATATTCTCTAAAATTATGTGGCCCTTCATCAGTGTTTTACAGGTACAGTTTAAGCCATTTTTGCTAAGAAGAAGCTCCTTTACTATTAATATGCTGTCATCTATCAAATCTCATCAAGGCGGCGCCAGGATTTTTTTGCACAGATTTCTTTTGACGTACAGCCTCAATAAATATGGAAATTACAATTACATCTCATTTTTTTCCTTGCAAAGCAGTGCAGTGCCCAAATTCATTGAATTTCCACTTTTATTTTTTCTTAATGTTGAAAGACATATATGCAAATTTTATTAACAATATGCATGGTTAAATTTAGCTGTAAATTCCAGTCAGGGATTTTTGCTTTGTTTATTGTCCAAGTCAATATGTCTGTGGAGAAAACCTCCCGCTGTGCAGGAATACATAGTCAGCTACTTGGAAAAGTAGAAACTTTAATTATGAGGGTTTATTCTGGAAAAAGGTAAAGCAAGCACTGGTTTTTGGGTTGAGTTTTTTTCATTATGACTTCAACTAAAGTAAATTCAGCATACACAGTTTGTTTTGACACTAGCTGTTATCAGACAAACCACTTGATTTTTCTTTAACCTGGTCTTCTGTGTAACTGAGAGGTTCTGAAAGAAAGTAGAGGTCATGAATAAATGATGCATTTTTTAAACTTGCAAGGTAGATCATGACATAAATGAAATAAAATCCAAGAGTGAAGGGAAAAAAGAAGCATAAACACATGTATTGCTGACAATATCTTCATTAAAATATACTTTATCATATGAAGATATTAGTGTCAGATGCAAATTCCCTTTGTTGCTCTCTCTGAAGTTATTCTGATTTTTTTGTGTGGTAACAGTGAAATACCTTTATACAAGGTTTTTGAGTGGAAGGGTAAATTGTTGCCAGGGAGTATGTGTTATAAATGCTATCCAAACATATTCTTATGTTTGTAACAGAAAGCCCTCCAAGACTGTGGTTACTAGAGTTCTTCCCATGTGTTCAGTTTTTGTAAGTAATATTCATGGAATAAATTTTATCTAGCTATGTAAAAAACCCCACTGCTTTCAAATAAGGTGTTTCTCCTATCTATGCGGAGTTTA